TCCCCAGACTACGTCCTCCTGACAGCAACTGCCAAAGTCAAGGTAGACCACTTGTTCTGGGAGGGGTGGGAGGTTCCAGGGAAGCATTTGGATCTCCGGTTTTATCCATGCTGGGAGAGTGCATCAGTAAGGTCTGATAAAAGGGGTTGGTTCCTAAGGAAAGAAGTATGAGAGCAGGATCTGGGAGATCTGGAGCTGACACTTGTGTCTACCAAGAACAGGCCTCTTTTCAGCCTCTTGCAGATACAAGAGGTAGCACTCATGTTGTCCTTCTGTCTGTACTGAGAGATGTTTGGGAGGGAGACTGTCCCTTACTGTTTACAGACTCATGGTTTAATGTGAAATTTTCACCTCATTTGGGATCGTTTAAATGGTGGTGTCTTAAGAGTGGTAGAATGAGAGAGCACATTCTCCTTTCAGATGCCATTGAAATGAAATTCAGAAGATCTGTGTACTAGAGCATTGGTGTTTTGACCCTTTGTCATGGAAACAAGGGAACGAGTAGGCCTGTTCTTTGCTGATTCTCTAACTCCTTGGAAAATTTCTCTTCACTTTTAAGCCAAAGAAACTTACCTTCAGCAATTTTGGGAACCTGAGGAAGAAGAAGCAGGATGATGTAGAGGAGTATGTGTGTTCTATGGAGCTAGGGCGGGCATCTGGGAGTGCATCGAAGAAGGGCTTTAAGCCTGGCCTGGATATCCGAGTATATGATGATGATGATTTGGACAAGCTAGAGCAGGTAAGCCACTTCTAACAATTCTGTGTCTTTGAGCTGTCAGGTTTGGTGGGAAAACCTTCCATTTCCCAGGGAAGTCTTCCTTTTGCTTTGGCCCGTGAAGGCCCTGACCTCTTGCTGTCACACTGCATTAGTGATAAAAGGGTCTGCTTCCAAGGAGGTTGAAGCTGTGAATGCATCACCTTTAGGGCCTGTTCTGGAGTAACTCTCCCCTGCTGACAGCCCGTGCCTCTCCCTTGGTCTGAACATCTCAGGTGTAATCAGTAAATTGTGTGCTGCACTTAATTGTCACTCTGTCCTTGCAGGACAAGGTGGAGTGGTTTCACACTGACAGAGAGTGGGTTTGGATCTCAGGAGGTTTGGGATATTAGAAGAATGTTCTTCTCTGTGAGGGTTGTGAGGCCCTGGCACAGGTTGCCTAGAGAAGCTGTGGCTGCCCCATCCCTGCCAGTGTCCAAGGCCACGATGGACAGAGCTTGGAGCAACCTGGGATAGTGGAAGCTGAGATGATTTTTAAGGTCTTTTCCAACCCAGTCCATTCTGTGATTCCACTCTATGATACAAATAAGTTGTTATTAATTCATTATTCATTTTGGTTTTTATAGATGGAAGATTCAGAAGGGACGGTGAGGCAAATAGGAGCATTTTCTGAAGGCATCAACAACCTGACAGTAAGTCTGTGAATGAGGTCTGTGCAGTAAGGTCTCTGTTTCTGTGCGATGGGTGCGAACCCCTTGGCAGTCATTCACGTTAAACAGTGTCAGTGAGGTCCTTTGGGTCTCCTGCAGGGACAGAGGGCACAAAAAACCCAAATGGTTCAGGAAGGTACCTATCCATCCTGGTGGGTAGGTTTGGTGGCCTGTGCTGGCTCCCCACACACCAGGGAGGGCAGAGGACACAGCCCCATTGCCCATGGTCAGGGCGTTTCCAGCTGGGAGTCAGGCTGCATTTTCTGGGTGGAAAGCCCTAGCCACTGGGGCCAGCAGACAGCAGTGAACTGGTTTTGCAACAGGGTGGGTGAAAACCTCCCTCAGCAGAACAAAGCAGTGACTGGCAGGCAGTGTTTGCTGCCCAGCACAGGACAGGTGACTGACTCCAGTTTTGAGAAACCTTGACTCTTTCCTCCTTCCCTTTCCAGCACATGCTGAAGGAAGATGAAATGTTCAAAGACTTTGCCACTCGCTCTCCTAGCACCAGTATAACAGATGAGGACTCCAACGTGTGACAGTCACCACCAGGCACTGACAAAGGCTCATTCTCCTGCATGCAAGGACATCCCTGTTCCATATGATGGGCAGAAGATCATGTTCTTTACATTGCTCTTGCTTCTGTTTGTTAGAAGTAACAGTGAGGGGTGAAGAATTTTAAAGAGAAAAGGAGAAAATCAATGTGCCTACTTAAGTTGCCATAAAAACCACCCAGACACTGGTGAATGGTAATTGTTTTAACTCTATTTAATGTACAAACTGGTAATATGTTTCAGAGTGTTGTGTTGAAATTGATGTGGTATGCTAGTGCTCCTTTTGCTTATTCCTGGCCTCAGATAATCCTTTGTACTGTTTGAAAAGAACAGAATGTGTTAGGTGAAGGTGTTGCGTCTGTAGATAGCACACATCAGCTCTCTCTGCGCTCACAGCTGAAAAATAGAAGTTACTTCTCTTTTCTAAGTGCTTTTCTTTGGCACAAACACCAGTTCAGCCCTATCCAATGTAGGATTTTAGTCATCCGTGCCCTCTGTAAGCTCCCTGGTAGCTCTTGACTGTTGCTCCTATTTTTATACTGTTTTATTAAAAAAGTAGAAAAAATAGAAAAAATAAGTCTATGAAGTACATATAAAAGCAAAAATTTAAATTTTGTGAGATAGAGTGATGGAAAGTTGAAAGTGTGCGAGGGAAGGGGAGAAGATTGTAAAAAAATTATGCCAGTTTGCATACCAGCTGGTTACTGGGAAAGGCAGGCTGACCTTTGGAACTGTTTGCTTTCATTGCTTTTTACTGAGTGTATAGTTTAATGATTTTCCATTTGAGATGAAACTATTCTAAAGCATGTTTTTTCTAGCAGTGACTCATCCAGGAACTGCACATTTTAAAATGTCTTCTTCTTTCTTGTCCCCAGCAGCAGTAGTTAGTGCGTTCAACAAGGTTATTAACACTTCCATGATTTAAAAAAAAATCCTTAAAGTTGAAAGTACTCCCTGCATATGGAAGGGATATTTCTGTGCTGTGACTAACACGAAGATGGTGTAGTTGCAAGAAAAATAGTTATATAGAGAAATGTATAGGAAAGATATTATTTCATGTTATTAAGCCTAAGGTGAGACATCTCCTCCAAAATTCAGATATCAAATGTGTTGCTCATCATTTTACCTTCTTAAAGCACAGCTCCTCTGCTCTTGAGGATCATCAGGTTTTAAAATTCCTAACTAGCCAGTGGGAATCTTGTGTCAGACTTCTAGTATTGCAAGGTGTCCTAGCCAAAAGCAAGCACACAAACAAAAGTAACTTTTTATTCTAGTGGTCATTTGTATGGGGTTGAATGTTGCATGTATTTTAGCACAATGGCATGAAGCTGCTTTGCTCTATAAAAGGCAAACAAAAGTCCAGCTGGAATTGTTCCTTGCAGTGGTGTTGCTTTGCCAAATTTTTGTCGCTTGTTTTGTCACTCTCCTTACTGGAAGTGAAATCATTCCTGGTGTCATGCAGGGGATTTGGGGTTTGTGCTGACTTCAGGGGTGTTTCTGAAACACTGTTAAAAAAGCTAGGAAAGGAAGAAAGGTTCTTCCTAGGATTTTCAGGGAGCTCCTGTTGGATCAGAGGCATATTCCAGCTTTAGAATAATGTATGAATAATGTAAGGACTTTTGAAGAATGTGCAGTGTAGGTGAGTATTGATGTACCAAGATGCAAAATTTAATGTGGGAAGGTTTAGGGTACTTGGGATGTGGATTCAGGCCTCCCTTTTTGTGAATATTCTGCAATATTGTTATTATTTACGAGGAAGTTGAACATAAAACCCTGTGGAAGCATTGGGAAATGTGGTACAGGCTTCCAAACAAAAATATTCCTCTGGATGGCTCTCACTAGTCACTGGCTGCTGGACAGGACTGGGAATTCACAGCCGGGGAAAAGGGAGCCAGTGACACAATACTGTGTCCTGAAATAGCCACAAACACTCTCCAGTTTATCTAGAGTGTTATTAGTGAGGGCAGTGATCATTTATGATCATTTATTGAAGTGCAGTGTAAGCAGCATTCTGCTCCAAACAACACTTTGCTGGCAGCCAGGTCATCCCCTCAGAGCTACCATCTGGGCCCTGGTTCTCTTACAGGGTGGAGACACGAGAGAGGCGATGAAGTCAGGAGGTTTTTAGGTGTTTGGTGTTTGTGTGCACACTGTCCATACCATCGAGGTGTTTAATTGTTGCCTCTTTGGAGAGGACATTGTAACTGCTGTGTATTACCATGTGAAATCCAGTAAAGTCTGTGGAAAATGCCAAGTGTTTCTGGAAGCTGGTTTCCTTTTTCACATCCTCTTTTTTTTTTCCTTTTAATTTTCTATGGAAGCTTGTTCTTGCCCCATGGAAGGGGCAAAATTACACATTTTTTTGTTGACTCATTAATTAGTTTGTCAGTAGTGTCTGCAGCAGGGCTCGACTAACAGCTAAGAAATCAACTATATCAAGACTTTTTAGTTATTTCTGGGGTCCAGATTTGAACCATCTTGGGTTTGGTGTGGTGAGAAGTTACATGATCATTGCTCAGTATGTGTTCTCCAGATGGAGCCCTCCCAGGGTGTTCTGTCCCTTCTTGCTGTGAAAGAGACTCTCTCTGGTCCCAAGTGTTAATCTCCCTTCTCTGGACATAAAAAGAAGAAGGTGGTTTTATCTCCAGGCAACACCCTGTGCAAAAAACCTGGTTTCTGTGCAATAGTCCTAAAAAGGAGATCCAAGGAGATAAGATCATACTGGAATGAGATAACATCAGCCAAAGAAATAGTGCCAAAATTAACAATAAGGAAAACAAGCACAGATGAATTCACTAAGTGTGAAAGCTATGGGACCTGTTGGGCTTGTCACTGCTCAGTCAGCTGTGGAGAAACACACCCAGGAGAAAGCCCGGCTGCCCTGTGGGCGCACAGAGCTCAGTTCTGCCATCACCTTCACTGGGAAGGCTGCAGGTATCCATGTGCAGCTGAATAGGTCTGGCTGAGCCCAGCACCTGCAGAGCCTTTGCTAGAAAATAAAGGTTTGTCCCTGAGGCAGTCTACATGTGGAAACAACCTCCTCTGGCAGAGAAAATGGGCCAGAAGGTCTCCCAGTAGGACAACCAGGAGAACAAGGCTGAAATGCTGGTCATCTGTGAAGTCTTCAGCCAAGGTGTGTTCTATGCATCTCAAAGGCTGAAGGGACTATCTGGGTTTCGTGGATCCTCAAAGCAAATTTCAGCCAGCCACGAACACACTGAGCGAGATCTTCCTGGTCAACTTCATCGTCTTCTGCGTGGGAAAGGTGATGGCAGAGCAGATCATGACCAGCAAAATGACCAAGCAGCAGTCCTCCCTGTTTGGACTGGATCTGGACTCTGTGGGGTTCCGACAAACAGATCAAGATGCAGATCCCCATGCACGCTTTGCAGCCGGCTGAGCTTTCCATAGTGACAGCCTTGCCAAGGATTGCTGCCGGGAGGCTGGTCTGGTCAATGAGTGCTTCCAGAACACGAGCAGGTTTGAGAAGCTGGCCAAGTTCTGCCGCCTGGTGGGACAGGACTGCCTGGGCTTGTTCAGCATGTTTGGCATGCCAGGGACGCCCAAGGACATCTGAGGAGTCTTGCTGAACAGAGTTGCCAAGGAGGAGCAAAAATGCCACCTGTTGGGCAGGAATGCCCCGCGGCAATTTGCCACCAGCACTGACAGCTCCCTGCCCACAAAAGACATGCTGGAAAATTGCCTGGACACCAAAAACAGGCTGAAGGATGTGGGCAATGTGTACTTAAACTTTGTGTGAGCAGCTGGGCAGGAGCAGCAGCTCCGTGCAGCAGCAGGGGCCAAGTGAGGCTCAGCTCTGCCCCTCTGTCTCCCCTCCCCACACTCCATTCCCTCCACCTTCCCCTCAATCCATCATGTTCTCTTAGCTCCTGTAGAAGCCAGGCTGAGTCAGCCTCTCCAGATTTTAAAACAAACAGGATGGATCTGGCAGAAAAATGCATTTATAGAAGGCACAAAGTTTTCCCAGAACATTTTGTTCGCCAGACATTAAGTTTTGGCTGGAGCTGCTGAAAGCTTTATCAGCCAGAGCTCTGGGGAGGTCCTGGTGAATTTGACTGAGAGTCTTTGTTTGCAGTGTGGCAGACTTTTTTTCTGTCCTAGGAGGGTGAGTCTGTAATAATGGAAATGTGCTGGTGCTTGTCAGAAGAGTTGCTATGAGTGTGAAGGACAATACCAGTGAGCTGGTTTCAGTTAAGAGGAAAAGCCCTTCCCAGTGCCAGAAATTTCTCTTTCTCTGAGAGAGACTTATTAATTACCTGCTGCCTAATTGGTGCCAGGCTCCACAGGGCCTTGGAGCTGTGAACAAAAGGCAGGGCTGGAGCCAACTTCAAAGCTTTTCTCACTGAGTGGCTGTGTCAGGGCAAGATGTGGCAAAAGCCAGGGGCAGGTGTTCAAGAACACTTGGGAAAAATCAAGCCACAGGGACAAAAACCAGGCCTGATGTAGGTGGGACCTTTTCATAGCAACAGAGGCAACCCCTGACCATTCACAGCAGAGAGCAAATCTGGAGGAGGCATGATTATGTCACTTGGAAAATTTTTTCACTAGCTTAGCAGCTGATGGTATTTATGGGCTTGATTTATTCTATTTCCTTCAGCTTATACTGTACTAAGGCTTTGGGGTTATAGAGTTATAATTACTTGCTTTAACTAGTGAAGGACAACCTGATCCATATTTAAACTGGTAAACTCACTTTGGTTATAGCTGTCTGAATAGTCTTGTCAGTCCAAAACTCATCTGCCACTAATCTTCATATAAATTCAGTCATTTAACAGAATAAAAATAATACTGAAAACACATTCATCTTTCACTATTTACTGTTCAAGTTGTAAGATGGGGGAAGCTGTGAGAGCTGAGAATCAGAGGCTGTTACTTAAAGAGCCATTAAAAAAAGAGCCTAAAGAGGCTGAGGCATCAGTGCCAGGAGTGTTTGCAGCATTCCATGGCAGAGGCAGGAAATCTGAAAGGGGAACTGAAATAAAAACAAACACAGAGAACTGTGACATTTTTGCTGAGTCACAAACATAGCTGAGTTTGAAGGAGGGTGACCTTTCAGTCCTGAAACAGGACTGTTTAAAAACAATCCCATTTCCAACCTTTGGAAATGGGCTCTCCCAAAGGCAGGGATCCATGGGGTGGTAGCTCCCAGCTTGGGTGTTTGTTCTGGGTTGTGAGGGCACCTCGGGACACCCCAAGGAGCAGGAGGTGACTGGAGATGCTGATTAAGTCCTGCCGGGGCACAGCACCTGCCTGCCAGCCCCGTGTCCATCCCCTGCCTGCTCTCAGCTGCAAACAGGGCTGAACCACGAGGAGCATCCAGCAGAGTCCTGCCAGCCCCGGCTCCCGCTGCTCTGGGTCCCCAGCTCCTGGGCCTTTGAGGGATCTACGTGGAGGAGCTGAAGAACCAGAGGTCAAGTGGGATTAGATGAACTCTGCTCTCCCTGCAATCCTCCATTTCTCTGTGGGAGCCTTCCATCTCCCAGAGGTTGCAGTTTAACTGAATGGTGGTGGAGAAAGAAGGAAGAAGCCCTGGGATTCTTCAGGATGGGTGTTTAGGCAGCCCTGGGCACAAATCAGCATTTTTGTACAAACATGTGCAGTCCCTCAAGCGCTTGCAATAGGTGCTAAATCTCCATCGTCCTTCCAAAAACCCAACCCTGAGGCACCTCCCAGCTTCCAGCAGCCACACACCCAGCGTGGGGGGATATTCCAGCGGGAGCGATCGCTGGGGTGGCCCCTGGGGTGGCAAAGCAAAGGGTGTCAGCTCAGGGCAGAGGATCGGAAAGGGCCAACACAGCCCCAGGGATGTGTCGAGAGGGAGAGCTGGGGAAGCAGCTGGAATTGGGCACTGGGAGGGGACCCCGGGCAGGGAACGTGGGGAACTTCAGACTGCGGGCTGGGGGACCCAGCAGGCGCTGCTGGCTCCGGCAGGGCCCCGCCAGAGCTGGAGCCGTGGGATGCTGGAATGGCTTGGGGTGGAAGGGACCTTAAAAGCTCATCCTGCTCCACTCCCTGCCAGGGGTAGGGACACCTTCCACTATCCCAGGTTGCTCCAAGCCCAGTCCGGCCTGACCTTGGACACTGCCAGAGATCCAGGGGCAGCCCCAGCTTCTCTGGACATCCTGTGCCTCAGGCCCCTCACAGGAAAGAATTTCTTCCCAAGATGCCATCTGTCCCTGCCCTGAGTCAGTGGGAAACCATTCCCTGTTTTCCTGGCACTCCAGGGTGACAGGCACAGCAAAGGGAAGGTGTCAGGGATGGGGACCAGTGTAGCAGGCTCAGGGCCTGCGAGGCCTTGGCGGTCAGAGGCCTAAAAGCTAGGAAATGCCAAGTCAGCATGACTGGACCCTAGCAGCCCCTCTCTTCCTCCTTCGGACCCTGCTTATCTCTCTGTAAGCCCATAGGTCACTTTCCCCTGACCCTTACTATTGGACAGTTTTCAAAACCCCTGTAGGGTATAAAAAACCCCTGATTCTGCCGGGTTCGGTAGAAGAGCTGTCAATGGGAACCTTCGCGGAACACCCGAATGAAAGAACCCTGCGGAACCTCATATAGCACTTCTCCTCTCTCTCCCTGCGTCTGCTGCTGCGGTACCTAGCAAGCTAAAGAGCTGGAAATCACTGAGAGCTGATAATCACTGAGAGCTGAAAATCACTATAGCTTGCCTAGGTTGCCTGAGCTCCCGCTGAGCTATCCCGGCTTCCAGCACTCCCTGCTGGGCATCAGCCCGGTGGGTAGCCGCCGGCAATAGCTGGCACTCCGAACTAAGAGACCAGGAATGTTTCCTCTTTTTCCTCTTGCTTTTCCCAGCTAAAAGGGAATTTAATCGCAATGTCATATGACCTCAGTGAGGGCATGTGGCCATATCTGCTGTACTTATGGATACTTTATTCCCTGTTCAATCCTTTTCTTCTCCTTTAGCTCCCCATAGACCATGGGCTCAGTGAGAGAAAAGCCACATCCATGGACACAGAGGGGACCTTCCATCCAGAGCAGCTTCTGGCTGTGGCTGAAAGGTCAGTGAGTGGAAGACAGGAGTACATGGACCCACAGCTCAGCTGGAAAATGTTTTCCACAGGTCCTGGAGGTTGATCTGGCAGGTATTCCCTTTGCAAAGCTCTGCTGTTGCTCCTCTCCCATCTCTGCTGTTGCTCCCTCTCCCACTGTCTCCCCACAGCTCTCGTGTCATTGTCCCTTGGCATGAGGTGATTTCTCTCTCTTGCTACTGGAAGGGACTGGGAGCTTCCTGAGCAGCTGGGGACAGACTGGCTGGATCCTGTCAGCTCTTTCTGAAGGGAATTGGATCTAATCCTGCTGGCTTCTCCCACAGCAAGGACTGCTCCTGTGTTCCCTGCTGCCAGGGAATGTTTGGCAGCCAAGCGAAGGAGAGGAAGAGAAATTATGCTTGCAGCAGGCATAGGTGTGTCTGTGCTGGCCGTGTACAGGGTGACCTTGGAATCGTGGAATCCTTCAGGCTGGAGAAGCCCTCTGAGATCACGGTGCCCAACCATTCCCCAGTTGTCCCCATGATATTTTCTGAAAAATCCTCTTTGCCCAGGATGTTTCTCCTGAGAACCTGAGAAGCCTCAGATAGTGTTTTGCTGCTTTGGAATGCAATATGGAGATTGTTTATCCAGCATGTGAATTGTTTTTACTTAATGACCAATCAAAAAGCCAGCTGTGTTGGACTCTCTGAGAAGTCACGAGTTTTTATTATTCATTCTTTTCTAGCCTTCTGATGTATCCCTTTCTCTATAGTTTAGTATAGTTCTAGTACATCATTTCTTATAATAAAATATAATAAATCAGCCTTTTAAGAATATGGAGTCAGATTCATCTCTTCCCTCATCCTGGGACCCTCGCAACCACCATACCCGGTGCTGCTGAGGCCACCACTGCCCCATGTTCCCAGGTGCCACATCCACACAGCTTTAAATCCCTCCAGGAATGAGGCCTCCACCACTGCCCTGAGAAGCTGTGCCAAGCTGGACAGCCTTTCCACTGTTCTCGATGGTCACAGTTGGGAACTCGATAAACTGGAAGCAAAGCTGAAGGGTTTGTCCATCGAGAGAAGTGGTGATTTATAGAGCAAAGCCTGTGGTATCTCACAAGGAGAATTTGGGATGGTCCCAATCCCTAATCTTTCTGTTAATTTTATTTTGGATGCTGCAGCCTGCTGTCCTGAGGGAGCTGCTCCTTTTTGTTTCCATTTAATTTTCTGTATTTCATTAATTATGTGTGGAAATCTGCTTTTAATGAAAAGGCCCAGGAGGCTACTGATGACATCCTGCAGGTGTGTGCTCAGACCAAGGATTGTTCTGGCTGGCAGAAGCTGCACCAATCTCCCAGGAATGTCAGTCTGGATTTTCTTTTCTCCCGGTTCTCCCAGTTGTCACTTTGGGGATGCAGTGCAGCCCTGCCCTGTGTATCTCCTAGAAGAGTTTTGGTGTTAAAAGTATTCTTTTATATTCTGCAGTATTTATAATTTGATTAAAAAGAATAAAACCGTATCAATGTGATTTGTATTGGTTCATTTGCATTGGTTAATTAAAGCAAATCATTGAGAAGGGGGCTGGGCAGCCCTTGGTTGGAGCTGGCAGCTCTTCTTTATTGTCTCTTCATTCTCTGAATTGCTTTGAGTTATTTCATAAGTAGTTACTGCAATCAAGATACACAGTGAGGAGAAACAGCATTTCTACCCTGCTGGATTGGGAAATCCAAGTCCAGTTCCTCAGAGGGATCGAGGGAACAGGGAGCTGAGCCTCAGGCTGGGATTTGGCAGTGGGAATTCAGTGAGGAAGGAGAGGAGAGGGGCGGGGAGATCCCCCAAAACTGGTTAAAGCAAATTCTGCTGGGTTTGGGTGCCCCAACCCCCCAAAAAATGATCCTGGTTAAAAGGAACTTCAGGAAGCAGCAGGATGTGCTGGGGGGGCTGTGCTGGAGCCTCCAAACCCTGGGCAGGGATGAAGAGCAGTGCCAGAGACACAGGAACACTATGGAAGTGGGGGCTGTCACCTCCAAATTCCAGCCAGGAATGCTGGGCACTGCCAGCTCTTTGCGACACTGCCTGATCCCGAGTGTTTTCCCATTATCTTCTGTCGTGCTCAGCACTTGACACTTCATTAGAGACTCACAGGCTTAAAATCCCATGGGAGCAGCTGGAATCACAGCCGATCACACAGAAGCCGGTCCAGGACAGGAAACGAGCTGTTCCACAAATTTATTTTTCCCAATGGGTTTTTAATTTAAAGCAGAACACTGGCCGTGTCCCGACCCCCCGTCCCCCGACCCCATACTCTTTTATTTTTGGGGTTTCCCCATGAGAATTACCTGTCTAGGCTGGATAAAAAATTCAAAACAAATTCCCCCAGCTCTGCGGGGTCCGTCCCGGAGCGGCTCCTCGGGCCCGCGGCGAGCCCGGTCCCCATCTCAGCTCCAGTCTTGCTCCGGTCCTCCGGCCCCGGGACTCCCAGCGAACACGGGCAGGACCCGGACCCGAAGTCCCTGTCCTACTGCCGGTCCCAGCCCCGGTTCGGCCCACGTGCGAGAGCGCGGAGCCGTTAGCGACGGGCCATACCGGAGTGGAGCCGGGGCTCCGTGAGGCGGGGCCGGGGTGGAGCCGGGGCGGGGTCAGGCGGGGCTGTTGCTTCGAGGGTGGGGCCGAGCCCGGATCAGGTGCGCGGGGCGGGGCCGACGTCATTTAATTCCCGGAAATCGTTTCGCCCGCCATTTGCTCGCTCAGAGCACGGTGTGGGTCGCAGCTTCCTGTGCGGGCTCCGCAGATGAAGCCCGGGGGCTT